TGGTGTGACCGAGATTACAGATTTCTAGATCCTACCGATTGTCGAATAGCCGTTAACCGTATCACAGGGCTATTTTTTTGAAAACGTCATCCATGGGATTCGAACTCTAGACCTGCCGTCTGGGGGTGCAACAACTCCACCACTTCACTAAGTTGCCACACCCTATATTTGAAATTTGTATAAATATAGCTTTAGTAAAATGTTTATAATTATATATAGGTTTTCTTCATACAAATTGATAATACTGGTTGCATATAAGTATTTATCAAATAATTTTGGGTTAATTGCTATATAGTATAAAAAAGCATTAAATATAAGCAAACTTTGGGCCTCTATTACTTATCAATATTAGTTGGATGATAAGGAGTTATATAATTCTGAAGAAGAATCTAAAAGCAAACACTTTTCTGATATTAAACAACTATCTAATAAAAAAAATTATAAAGAATTAAAAGGATTGAAAGATAATGAGAACTTAGATGAATATATTGAAAACTTTAATAGTTTTATTGATAAGTGAGAAGAATTATTCAATCAAGAAGAAAAAGCCCAAAGAAATACAAACACTGATTTGAATTATGATTTAGAAGTAGATATTAATAATTATCTACTTAATCAAACACATTCTGTAATAGAAATTAAAACTAAATAGAATATTTGTAAAATATTTATTGATGGTTTGAATATGTTTTTCAATATTAAATATTTGTTATTTTTAAGTTTTAAATAAAGGTTTAATTTTAGCAAATAATTTGGTTTATAATTTTTGAAATCTAAATTACATTGAACTTTTATATACAAACAAAATTTTTTGCATTATTAACAAAAATATTTAATTCTTGTTGATGTGAAGTATTTTTGCTAATAATTTTATAAGTTAAAACTATTGCTATTACAACAAAAAATTTAATTAGTAAAATTATTATAAAAAAAAGCTAGCACAACTAAAGTTGAAGCTTTAGCAGATATTAAATTGAAAAAAAATTTATTAGTTTTATAGAAGATAGTATATATATATTATAAGAATTAGTAAAAGTATACTTAAGCATTTAATTTATAAATATTATTATTAATTGTAATGCTTAAATATGTATTATTATAAATATTATTTAATCAATTGATTGATATGTTTAAAAATACTCTAATATAGTACTATAAATAATAAAATTTTATAATTGTTATTTAATTAATTGATTAATATACTTAAGAATGCTCTAACATAGTGCTATAAATAATTAAAAAATATTATATATATAGGTGGATAGGAAAATTCAAAAAAAAATTAAACCAATATTACTTGATTTATTAATTATTTGTTTAATTTTCTTCTTAAATTTTATTATCTATCTATAATATTAGCTTGTAAGCAACTTATAGTAATTTTGCAATTGCTATTTTGTATTAAAAATATTAAGTATTAATTGTAGTATAGTATTTAATATATATGTGTTTGTTACTTAATTATTTAGTATTACTGCTTAACTATAAAAAACACTATATAGGATTTTGTCTTGCTGTCTATAACTATTCCTAGCATCATTAACTAATTTATACTAGCTTCTCTTTTCTTTTAATATTCAAGCTGCATAGATAGACTATCAAAGTATTAATCTCTGATATTTGTGTTGTTTATTTAGACTATCGACTATTCCCAAAACCTAGCTATCTTTATATCCTAACTACTTCCACTTATATATAGTAGGTGGATGGGTATTGATGAAGCTAAACGTATATCAAACTAGCAGCAAAGACAAAAGAAAAAGAACAAATTTCTTCTTTAAATAGCTATTTACTATGATCTCTTACTTACAGAATATATCAATAAAATTTGTATATATTTCAATTAAATTTGTAACATTACACAAATTTTTATTTTGATCCATCTTTGATATTTTGTGATTTAGTAATTAGATTTCAATAATTCTGATACCATTCAAATTGTCTTACTGAGATGATTCAAATAGTACTAAATCATTAAAATCTGATTACTAGATTGTGAAATATTAAAGATAGATTAAAATAAAAGTTTGTATAATATTACAAATTTGATTGAGATATATACAAATTTAATTGACATATTCTGTACAAATATTTAATCAATTAAATCAATACTTATTGTACAATACATCATACTTACAATATATTATACTTACCAAATAACTATAATCAGTGTTAATATATGTATTGTTTTTTGTACAAAATTTACAATATCTATACAAAAAATTTTTTATCTAAATTGTACAACTGTACAATTGATTATACAAATAGTTGTTAATAATAGTACTAGTTTGAATTTTATTTTTTTTTTTCGGTATTAAGGTGACCTCCTTGGTCTGGGGACTTTTTATTAGTAATTATTAGTTATTACAGTTACAATGAAGATACAACTAGCCACACGTGCACCTTTTGG